GAGCTGCGCTTCTGTGCCCGCTGATAGCAGTGCACAGGCCCCAAGCCCTGAGCCCTTCGTGCCCGTCCCTCTGGCGCAGGTTCAGGCCCCTGCCCAGGGCAGCGGCAGGAGTAGTGGCTGTCGGCAGGCCATGGTGATCCAGGAGGACAGCCACAAGGACACGCTGCCACTGCCCCTGTGGCATACCAGGGTGCTCTCACCAGTTAGGGACATGCCTGTCCCCCACATCCTGGTAGTGAAGATAGCCCTGAACCTCATCGCCAGGGTGCCCCAGCTGCCTGGGAAGGGGGGCGGCCCCAAAAAGCCAAAGGAGAAGCTGCCATCTGCAGGGAAGAGGCAAGAGCTGGAGAAGAGGTGCTCAGATAGCCCTGTCAAGGGGGCCAGGAAGAGGAAGGGGGAAGCAGAGAGAGACTGCGACAGTAAGAAAACCAGACTAGAGAAAGAAGTCAAATCACAGCCCTCTTTGTCTTCGTCCTCCCACAAAGAATCTTCTGAAACAAAGACCCGCAAGTCCTCCTCAGAACCCTCGAAAAAGGAAATGCTCCCCCCTCCACCTGTGTCGTCCTCCTCCACGTCGACCTCCCAGAAGCCAGCCAAGTACACACATAAGCGGTCACGGCGAGAAGCAGACCTCTGCCAAGACCCTCCCCAAAGGGCCAGTGCTCCCAAGAGCAGCCATAGGGACCCCTCAGTTCCCAAGCACAGGAAAGCCCAGGGCAAGTTCTCCGCAGAACACAGGGGATCTAGTGATACTGCAAATCCTTTTCCAGTTCCTTCTTTGCCAAATGGTACCTCTAAACCAGGGAAGCCTCACGTGAAAGGTGACAAACAGCAAGCTGATTTTCACATGAAGGAGGCCAAAAAGTTGAAGTGCAAAGCAGAATCAATGACAGACAAGGTGGGAAAGGCCTTCAAGTACTTGGATGCCATCCTGTCCCTTATTGAGTGTGGGATGGCTATGGAGTCGGAGGGCCCGCTGGCCAAGGCTGCGTACTCTGTGTACTCAGAAGCCGTGGACCTTGTTAAGTTCACCATGTCGCTGAGATGCTCTAACGGCACAACACAAGAGAAAATATTTGCAGTTTTATGCCTGAGGTGCCAGTCCCTCCTGAACATGGCAATGTTTCGCTGTAAGAAAGACACAGCAATAAAGTATTCCCGCACCCTGAACGAACACTTCAAGAGCTCTTTCAAAGTGGCCCAGGCACCTTCTCCATGCATTGCAAGGAGCACAGGTGCACCGTCCCCCCTCTCCCCAGTGCCTTCTCCTGCCAGCTCTGCTGGGGCCTCACCAAGTGCTGGGGGCCTGGGGAGCAGCGGGGTGACCGCCACAGTCAGCACCCCTGTCACCATCCAGAACATGACCTCTTCCTACGTCACCATCACATCCCATGTCCTTACCGCCT